GGAACCAGTTGTGATCAGTTCCTTAGGTTCGGTTCTCATGAGGAATATGGCTGATTCATAGGGGGAACAATGTGGAGATCTGGTTCTCAGGGGAAATATCAATTCTAAGTTTTTCGTCATCAAAAAGGGGGAAATTGATAGGTTTTCAATATCTTTTCCTTGTGTTTTGATGATCTAACAAACTTAATGTCAAGAACCAGATAGGAAACCTGACTCACTTGGATTACACTGCAGCTAACGGATTCCAACCAAATGTGAACTTGCTACAACTTCAGGAGGTAAGAACCCATACAAGGACCTGATACTCTTGTGAGTTCCTCACGGCAATACAAAGACAATTGGACACAGCTGGAAACGAAAATTCTGCCGCACTGCACTGTTTCCAGCGCCCACTCATTCTCTGATCAACTAAAGTACAATGATTCAAGTTACTCAACTTAAACAATCTGGGCAGTGTGCACAAGTACCAGATCAGGAACTTGATCCCTTGGTGCTCCCCTGACAGAAGTGCAAGTCAACTATACAGCTGGATCGCAACTGCAGAAAGTGACTGTCCGCAACTGTATAAAGAGGAACACAACATGGACCTGATCCCTTAGGGTTCTCTAACAGAAGTACACTTCAACTATACAGCTAGAACGCAACTGAGTGACTGTCCGCAACTGTACAAAGAGGAACACAACAGGGACATGGTCTCTTAGGGTTCTCTGACAGAAGTACAAAGTCAACTACAGCTGGAAAGCAACTGCAGAAAGTGACTGCCTACAACAGTACAGCAGATAGAGCAACAGATAGTGCATCAGTCACTTTCCATTGAGATTGGACATCACCATTGTGAATTGACATCACGAAGGTAATGTCTTGTGTAGTATAAACCTCATACAAGGCACAATATTATGGTTCAACACTTGCAAAATCAGAAAAGGAAAATATTCTCTCAAGTGTTCCAGAACCTATCTCAAGAACAAAGCTGCTGCAAACTTAAGGACCTGATCCGAGATTGATGATATCTTAAGTCCTTAGAGTTGTTGAGTCTTTGTTATGTGTTCTTCATTGTAACTGCTACCTAGCTTTCTTAGAAGCGTTGATTAGGTTGAGTCATAAGAAAAATCCTTTGTAACTGTAGTGTGACAAAGTGGTTTGTGGTGGAAACATCACAAGTTAGTCAAAGCCTTTGTAACTGTAGCTTGACAAAGTGGCTTGTAGTGGAAATACCATGAGTTAGTCAAATTCTTTGTAACTAGGATAGTTATAGAGTGGCTTGTGACGAGAGCATCACAATTTAGTTGAAGTCTTTGCAATAGAGTTATTGTAAAATGGCGTGTAATAGGGAGATTGCAAATTAGTAAAGTTAAAAGCCTACAGGTGTAGGTCGTGGTTTTTTGATCCCCTTGTGTGGGATTTTTCCACGTAAAAATTCTCGGCCTTATTTACATTTAGCTTTACTAGCATTCACAATAGAACCCGATAAAGGACCAGGTACTCTACTATTTGGTGGATTCACACAAACTTAGCACTGTACCAAACTGATATAGGACCAGATCGCTATACAGTTTGGTTCATTAGTATTTTCAGAGGAAACAAATAGAGAACTCGGTTCTCTATACAGTCTGGTGGACGCACAGTTTCTAACATCACTGACCCAAAGAAGATTCTAGCTGTCCAAAACTGGCCTGTGCCTACTATTGTGAAGCAACTAAGAGGTTTCCTTGGCCTTGCTGGGGTACTATAGGAAGTTTATCATGAATTATAGTCTTATCAGTCGACCTCTCACAGAGTTGCTTAAGGAAGATAACTTCAATTGGTCCACCAGTGCTGAACAAACCTTCATTACCTTGAAGAGTGCATTAAGTGTTGCTTATGTGTTGGCTTTGCCCAACTATTCTGCTTCTTTTTTGGTAGAAATTGATGCTAGTGGTACATGTATTGGGGTTGTGCTCATGCAAGAGAGTCATCATGTGGCATTCATTAGCAAGGGCTTGGCTCCTAGGCATGCTGCTCTTTCTGTCTATGAGAAGGAGCTCTTGTCTCTTGTTTTTGTTGTGAGCAAGTGGTCACACTATCTTATGGGTCAACAATTCATTATAAAGACCGACCAGAAAGCCTTAAAGTATCTCCTAAAATAGAAGATCTATATAAACTCTCAAATCAAGTGGATTGCCAAACTTTTACCCTTTGACTTTGAGATCCAATATAAGAAGAGCAATGAGAACATAGCTGCTGACTCCTTGTCAAGAGTTCAAGGAGCTGAGTTGATATCCTTACTTATTTCTTCTGTCTCTACTGATTTATTGGAAGAGATTACTGCAGTTGGTCTTTTAATTCTTACTTCCATACCTTGATTTGGTCTTTACAGTAGACTTCTCAGAAGCATTTTACTTGGATCAATAATCAACTTCGAAGGAAAGGAAGTTGGTGATAGGGAATGCTGCTGCTTTAAGATCTAAGTTGCTCACTGGTGATAGGGAATGCTGCTGCTTAAGATCTAAGCTGCTCACTTTATGGCATTCCACTTTAGCTGGTGGCCATTCTGGCTTAGATGCCACTACTAGGAAGGTGTTAACCTATCTCTATAGGAAGGGCATAAGGAAGGGCATTGCAACCTTCATTCAGAACTATACTACCTGCCAAAGAAATAAGTATGATACCTCTATTTCTCCTGGTCTTCTCCAACCTTAACCTATACCTGCACACTACCTTGGACTGACATTACCGTGGAATTTATTGAGGGACTGCCAAAGTACAAGGGATAGTTATTTGGGTCATAGTTGATTGTTTGACCAAGTGTGGTCACTTCATTGCTCTCACTCACCTCTATACTGCACAAACCTTGGTGCCTGTTTTCTTAGACAACATTTTTAATCTGCATGGATTCCCTGCTACATTACTAGTGATAGAGATCCTATCTTTATCAGTTTCTTCTGGAAAGAATTTCTCTCAACTCAAGGAATTACTCTGCAAACTTCTACTGCCTACCATCCTCAAACTGATAGCCAAAGTGAGGTGCTTAACATGTGCTTAGAGACTTATTTGAGATGCTTTTGTATTGATTCACCTGATGATTGGTCTTCTTTTTTACCTTTATCTGAGTAGTGGTACAACTCATGCCCACACTCCTCCATTAAAACCTCCCTCTTTGACCTTCTATATGGATATCCTCCTCTATTATGCTTGCCCTATCTACTTAGAGATTCTGATTCCACCCTTGTTGAAGACATTATGTTATTAAGGGAATTCAAGTTGCACATGGCCAAATTTCATTTACATAGAGCTCCGCTGAGAATGAAGGGTCAAGTTGATGCTCACAGGTCTGAGAAAGCCTTTCATGTTGGAGATTGGGTGTTTGTCAAGTTGCAGCCTTAGACAATCTACATTGACTGGTTCTCCTTATCATAAGCTAACTTCTCGTTACTTTGGTCCCTATCCTATTGTTGAAAAAGTTGGTGTTGTTGCTTATAAACTCCTGCTGCCACCAGAGGTTCTTATCCATCCCACCTTCTTTCACATCTCTCAGCCCACAATTTTCTATAACCTTTCTTCTGAGATTGTTCATCCTCTGGTCCTTCACCTGACCATCCAGCTCTGTCCATTTTCTGAAGCCATTCTAGCTAGATGTTTGATCAAAAAGGGAAACAAAGTTGTTGTACAATGCCTGATCAAATGGTCCAACTTAGATGTTTCATATGCCACTTGGGAATTAGCCTCTGCACTACGAGCTTGATTTCCAGCTTTCACCCATGAGGACAATGGTGATCTTCATCAGAGGGGTATTGATATACATATCACACCAGCAGCAGACGTGAAAGCTGAGTAGGACAACAACAACTATTTCAGCAAGTCTTGCATTTCAAATTCAAACTCTAATTGTATAAGTAATAATTTGTAATAGCAGGGAACACACTTTTCGAGCTAATACAAATCATTTCCCTCACTTTCTGAATTATTTCTTCTCTTTTCTTCTTCCATTTATCTCTTCTTCTCTTTTAGTTATTGTTTCATTGCTGTGATCGATACCATATTGGTATCAAAACATTTGAGCATAGCAACTAAAATTACTGGTCATCCTATTGTTCTTTACATTTGGAAAATTCGCCCATTGTTCAACAATCTACATGGTTCATTAAAAGAACAAAAATAAATGCTTTTATCATCAACTTTCATAGTTTTTGCTCGTTTCTTCTTGTTATTTTATTCCTGATCCCTTTTTCGAGTTTCTTTCCATCTTGAGGATTTTTTCTCATTCTAACCAAGATTATCGCCATATAATATAGCGCCAATGGGTTGCACTTGCCATACGAAGAAGACGGCCACTATAAGAAATGAAGGCGATGCATGCTTGCTGAAAAGATATGTTATCAAGCCTTACAATTGAAACTACAACGAGCAAAGTTAAATGATACTTGGACCTAAATAAAAAAAGAAGCTAAATGATGCAATATTTTATTCAATTGATGGCAAATTTTGCACGTGAAAATTAATAATTTTGACTCATTTTTTCTTCAAATGCATTGAACATACCCAATTTGCCGCTTCATTACTTAAAGGGGTATTAGACTCACTTCAAACAGAATCATAGGGGTAAAAATTTGTTTGTAAAATTTAGATATGCAATTGTTTTTCAAGAAAACTTTAAGGGATAAATATGTATTTTTTTTATTTACTAAGTATTATATCTATTATTGGTTTGATTTAACTTTTTTTAATTTAATATCGAAGCAAATATAATATTTATAAACTCAAATATCAAAATTAAATTGAACCGCTAAGATTTATTTTCTGTTTTAACATTAATACTAGAATTATTTGACCCTTAGTTAAACGTTTGGCTCTTAGAAAATGAAGAAACTTTTGATAGAAACACGCCACGTAAAATAGTTTGCCAATGAGTTATGATTAAACAAAAAAAAAAAGTCATTAGTAGACACCTCTTTTATCTTTTATTTTTTCGAATAAAAATGCAAAAGAGCAAAAGAAGCAATAAATTTGAACCAAATGCAAACGAATAAATTCATTCCATATGCAAAATTGTACATACTACAAAAGTGAAACCTCAGTTCTAAACTTCAGCACCGCCCTCCCTAAATTTATCTTCACCGTCACAACGTCGCCGGCGGAACCCTAGAAACGGTCCGAACGTTTTCTCCGACGAGTTAATTGGTAAAAAATGCTGAATCTCTCAATTCTCTTTCACTCTATCGTTTTAACAGTTTATGTCAATTTCGTACTCTCAGTTTCACTGTGGCCAAGTCTAACTGTTGAAATATCGGTCCTCCCAAAATTAAAGTTCATAATTGTTGGCTGCTGTATAACTATAGAGCATTAAATAATTTTTAACAAAATTCTTCTTTTTAATTTTATATGCTTCAGCTGAAATTTCTTTTCTTGGTTTTGTGCTTTTGCAAGCCTAGTGTTAGCTTCCTATTACATATAGAGTACTTACGAAGTGCATCACTGCTTCGTAATGTAATTAAAAAAAAAAATAAAGAAAAGAAGAAGGTATTAAGTAATGGCCCGAAAAATATGATAGGGTCTTAAGGGTTTGGGCGATAAGGTATTAGAATTTACTGCCTACATTGGTGGAGAGTAGTTTAAATGCAAAATGCTCAGACTGAAAAATGTCAAAGCAATGAACCATTTTTCTTAACTTCAAGGCTCCGGTATAAAGATAACTTTTCTTGGAAAATTATTTAAAAATATGCGATTCATATTTGCAAAAACAACATTTCCTTATTTTTTCTGATATTTCTACAATGGAGTAGTTCAATGAATTAGAACAAATCAACTGGTTGATGTCTATATCTTTTAGACTTTAGTTAATGGACTCTTAAATCATAATTCAAATATGTGCGGCTGCTCACCACTAGGGTTCGCGCTTGGTACTTTCGTTTCTCTTATTCAGGTAGCTGTTTGAAATTAATGTGTCTTACTGATCATATAAGAGAATAACATGTACGAGGTTCGAAAATCACTACCAATGTGGCTCTGTGGAGTTTGATTATGTTTGCATTCATGGATTGGATTCAGGCCTTATCAAATTGAGTCTACTAGTTGGCAATATTCCTAACCTAGCTCATACATCCTCTGTACTCTTATCATTCTTTCCTGAAGTTAGCGTCTGTTACAAAAAATATGCAGATATGTCAATGAAGTTGACACCTTCCAAGCGGCCGCATGTTTGGAGCCTTGCAGAAACAAATGGCCGAGGGAAGTGGCAGAAATCAGCATCTTTTAGTTCCCAGAAATCACCTCCGAAAGTTCGTATACTATGCCCTGCTTCTAAGATAGATTCCTTTATCGGAGAGGATAGTAGCATAATTTCTCAGATACGAGAGGATACTGGTGCAGAGATTCGAGTTGAGGATAGTGTTGTTGGTTGTGATGAGAGGGTGATAGTTATTGTAGGTTCAGGAAAAGAAGATGAAGTGGGAACCGAACAGCTCCAGGCTGATGTTGAGGGAACTGAAACTAAAGAAAAGGACAGTTGCACTGATGAAAATGGTGATAAGCGTGAGAATAAGGTGTCCCCTCCAGCAGAAAGCTCCAAAACTGAGAAGGAGACAGTATCTATTCAGAAAGCTCTATTCTTGGTATTTGATAGGATGATTGAAGGAGGGGTAGAAATGGATGGAGGAGATGAAGAGGGTGATAATTCTTCCTCATTAATTATAAGATTGCTTATACTCTCCAGTCAAGTGGGATCTTTGTTAGGAAAAGGTGGTGGTGTGATAAAGCAGATGTCTTCTGAAAGTGGGGCACAGATACAGGTTCTTCCCAAGGACAAACGACCTTCATGTGCGTCTTCATCTGATGAATTGGTTCAGGTATATTTGTTGATATTTATTCATTCATTTTGCGTAAGCATTAATATATATGATCTTCTCAGCTTAGTCATTAACTATCGTCAATGTTATCATCTATACTTCTGAGTTGAATTCGTAATTCAACGCTGTTTTTTTGTGTGCATGCATGTCACAATGTTTTGAAAGGTCTGTGGCTTAATATTGATATAACAGTAGTTTCTATGTTAGAGGTGCTCTGATGAGCTTTGGTGTCAAAGAATGGCCCCTGTATCTATACAATTCGAATTGAATACTCTTCATGCTTGTTGAGTTCATGGTGAATACTGCTTCATCACTATCTCATTCCTGCCTCACGCTTCATAGAGTTGATCATGTGAACAGTGTCTGCTGGTTTATGAAGTACTCTATTGGTCAAATTTTGTCATATATACCAGAAATCTGAAAAGATTCCTTACTGTTATGTCGCAGATTTCTGGGAAGCGTGAGGCAGTTAAAAAAGCTCTCGAAGTCGTTGCTCGACAATTACTTGAGAATTCCTCTTGGGATCAGGATTTTCTCTCTGCTGATGCTGGTGGTCCATCTTCTCAGTCTACTGGCCATCCTCTGTCTAACCAGGAATTGCATCCACCGTCAGCACGTCCTTACCGTGGGCAGGGGCCTCTGTCCTCTGTTGGATCTCGTGATGGGGAAGTTGGTATACCTGGCCGAATGAACCCTATTCCTGACGCCTTGACTTTCAGATTACTTTGTCCGGATGAAAAAGTTGGAGGTATAATTGGAAAGGGAGGAAGTATAATCAAAGCACTTCNCGGATGCCTCTTGGGTAAAGGTGGCGGTATAATAGCTGAAATGAGGAAATCAACTGGAGCCTATATTCGTATTGTAGGCAAGGATCAAACCCCAAAGTTTGCGTCAGAAAATGAAGAAGTAGTTCAGGTGTTTTTCTCTTTTTATGATTTGAGTGATGTTACTAAAAATAGAAGTTAGCAATTCTTTTCTGCATCTCGCTGGCTTGCCATTTTGTTACTTTTTAATTTTCTCTTTTTTGGTTTATCGCTGGCTTGACATTTATTACTTTTTAATTCTCTTTTTGGTTTAGTATGATATCTATAGCAACATTTGTTTGGTTTAAGATAAGCCTAATTCCTAGATCTCGACTTGCTTTTTGCTTTTCTTTTTGGTTGCTCAGGTAAATGGAGACTTTGAAAAAGTTTGTGAAGCCCTTCTGCAGATTACCACCAGATTGCAGAATCATTATTTTCGTGATACATTTCCTTCAAACCCTGGTTTCCTGGACCAAGTAACTCCCTTCCCTTCACATATGGGAAGAAGAGAATTTTCACCTCCAGGCATGTTCTCTAACATTCGTCCATCATTTCACAAGTTTGATGCTGTTGGTGTCCTACCTCCACATGGTGGTTTCCATCCACATGATGATCGTCCTCCCTTTATGCAAAATTTCCATAGGCCAGGCATTCCACCTCATATATCTGATAGAATGTCATCTTCAGCACCATGGGGTTCTCAGGTAGGCATTTGTTTGCAGTTAATTCTAGCATTCGAGTTTCTTGTGACTATTAAAATGGGAGTTGGTTGATTTTTATATCTAGGCTGCTCCACCTAATGTACTTATAACCACGTGCTTGTTGCTTTCACAATGTAATTTAACACGAGCATCAGAATTGTCCTAGAGCACGTCTCTTTTTGGTAGGAAAAAAGTTCTGATCCAATAAATGATAAATATCATAGAAATATTAATTTTCTGAACTGTATTGCAGGGACGGGGTGAAGGTGGGGGCTTCCCAGACTATGTAGGAGGTCCACGAAGTATTGGCGGATTTGGAGGGTCAGTACACTCTTGATCATGACCAAACTCTTTCAGTCGTTGTCCTCCTTTTTTCTTCTTCATGTTCTACTATTTTTGTATTATATACTGATGATATATGTATGTCTTGGTTAAACGTGAATTTCATTAATATAGAGGAAGTCATCCAGCTGTGATCACAAGCACTACAGTGGAAGTAGTTGTACCTCGATCTGTCGTTCCTGCAATCTATGGAGAAGGCGGGGGATGTCTTCGACAAATATGTGAGGTATGATCTCTGGATTCTATAGCATTACACCTTTTCTTCTTCTTTTATATTCTGACTTTTATTTCTGATTGATCTTTACCTAAGGCCATGCCCAATACGAAAGATATATGATCTCCCTCTTTATGCATAAATGTGTATATATGATAGTAAATATTATCTCCCTCTTTTGGTACATATTTCTTCTTCTTGGTTACTGTTAGTTTTCTTTGTTCTTAATGTTCTACTGTTATAGATTTCCGCTTGTCTTTTTCTACATATTTTACTTCCGTGTTTTTCACCAGTTTCTGTTTTTAAATATTAGCATATCAATATACTTGGTCTTATTTATGCGAAGTACGGATTTAGCATTGTATAAAAACATTTTCATTTTTGACACTGACTAATTATTTTCTAGATTTCTGATGCAAAAGTCACCATAAATGATCCCAAGCCTGGAGCAACAGAGACTGTTATCATTATATCTGGGACGCCTGAGCAGACTAATGCTGCTCAAAGTCTCATCCAAGCCTTTGTAATGGTCGAGACTGAAGCTGCTTGATTAGTGGCAGTGAGGTAATTTTGTCGATCTTGTGGACGTCTAATTGAGTGATCTTTGTTTTCAGAAGCTGTGTGAATGCAGGATAGTTAGTTATGCTCCCTGGAGAGCAGTCCGGATGGCGGATGCTCCCTTTTTATACTTTTGTCAATGTGAATTCAAAAAGCGTTGTTAACTTATTCCAGAAGACTTATTGTTATGGTGTTCTGTGCAGTGCTGAAGCTGGAGTTTACGGTGACGGCTACTGGAAGATATGGTTTAGCAGTTTTACAAGCTGCAAACTCTTGACAAAAGAAAAATGGAAAAAAATGCATGTTAGAGTATCAGAAGTATTGCCAGTTGGCTAACAGATTCGGATTCTGTGGTGGTAAAGTTTCACAGAACATATTGATATGTTTTCACTTGAGATGATCATTCTAGGATGGAGAAGGAGGGTTTTTTAACATCTTTGTTTGCAGACTTTTGCAAATTGCCCTGTCTCTTTGTCCTACAAATATGATGGAGCCATTAGTAGTGTGTTGGCCTTGTCTCAATTTGATATCTTGGGGATTTATTCCTTCACAAAGTGTAGCTTGAAGACTTCAATTTTGGTTTTATCTCAATGCATTAATGAAAACTGAAAGCAGTCTAATGAGAAGATAGATAACAACATTAAGGATAAAGACTAATATTTTTCCTTGGCAGGCCCGCAAAGTAAGAAACATATGTCTAACTTCCTTAATTGTGAAAGATTTATTACCTAATTTCAGTTCAGTTTTTGTTGTTTCTTATGCTGCATTAATACCAGAGACTGAGAGGTCATTCATTGACTTCATAGTATGAGTCTGCTTATTCTTAAAATTAGCTGATGCTTCTGCTCCCTTCTTTTCCATTTCTATCCCGTTTGAGACTGTAAAAACTAAGAATAGAAATGTGCTGCTATATAGCTAGTTTGAGATACCCAACAATACCAGTTGAAATGTGCAAAAATGCGGGGTGGCAATCCTTTTCAGAAGCCTAACTTACATAGAGTTGTCTACTTCATAAGGTATTCCAGGCTATAGGGAAATAAATAAGAGCTGCAGGGGAGGAGAGGAGGGAGTTTCCTCCCATTTCCACATAAATTGAGCTGTGTGCTTCATTACTGTCTCTGTTCCCATCTCTGCCTGCAATTTTCCTGAGACATATGTATGCTTATTAAAAAATAGGTAAAAGATCTGATCTGACATGTAAACAGCTTTTTAATTCCTATTGTTCCAAAACTCAAAGCTTTGTCTGATTCATTTCGACTTGTAAACTGTGTTTCGGGGTGTCCTCGATTTCCATTGACGTACCCATGTTGAACTTGTATGATATGGGTGTGGATGCTTGGTGCGGATTCTTAAAAAACATTCAAAATTAACAAACTATAAATATTCATATAGGATATCTATGCACAACCCTATTAGCATACGTATCCATAAATGCGTTCATGTAACATAGCTTGTAAAAGCATTATGCAGATCATATATGACTTCTAAATTTTAGTTCCTGATGACCGTACTCCTCTAGGAACAAGCACTGCTTTTTAGACAGCAGTTGCCAGGGTGTTCATAGATTCATTTTGCCTGCTTTATTCAGTGATAAGTCAATATTTTGAGATACAAGCTGCACTAGATGTAGATGGACCCTGCTCTGTTAAGTAACTGGATGGCTTAGATCATTTCTGTAGTGATGAGAATGAGTCAAAAATCAGGTTGCAGGTAGTTTTTGTGCCATATATCGCAATGTAGAGTTTGTGAAAAAGCGTACTGTATAAAATTTGTAAGAATAACATACAGCCAATCAGTTTGGATTACACTTCTTATTGAAAATATTACATATTTAATTGGAACAATTCTGAGAACTTATTGTTGAGTTGAGAAAGGCTTGTAATGCTTGAGAGAAGTGACAAGACCCTGGATAGATCCAGCAGCTGCAACAAGTGATACAACCAGGCAAGTCCAGCTCAAAATTTTCAGCCATACCCATGTGAAAGAATACTTTGGTATCTTTCTCTGGGCAATGTGCATCTCTATTGGGAAGTAGACAGTTAATGGATAGAACGATGCTGCCCCGATCAAACCCAAGAAGTCATTGAAGAAGGGGAATATCATGGCAATCACGGCTGTTACTACAACATATGCTGTTCTCCACACCAACCTGAACAAGTTGACGTTGTAAACGCCACAGCATGGAACTTGCACAGCGTACTCGGAGGTGATGAATTTGCTGTCTGACCATCGCTCGTTGCAACGAGCCTCCACGAACCCATATAAAGGTTGGCAGAAAACCTAAAGTCACGACATATATTGCATTTAATTTGTATTGTTAGATTCGTGTCTCGTGTATTTAAGTAGTGGGAGTAGGTTTTTGAGAATGTTGTATAGAAGTTTCACCTGGTAAGCTCCAACAAGGTGGACGGCAATGCAAACGTTGGCAAAGTCAATTAGCCAAAATGGTTCATAGAAACCAAAACCAGTAAGGAAATTTCCAGGAGCATCATTTCCAAAGGCTGCATAACCAATGGTACCACATAGTATATAGAATAAAGTTGTGGTGGAAACTCCAGCTAATGAGGCTCTCTTCATAACCTTGCTTTCTGGAGGTTGTGACCTCAATGTATCCTGCAATTAATTAAGTAATGGTTTCTAAATAGTATACAACAATATCTGAATATTGTTGAAAGGTTGCCAAATTATTATTGGAACTTAGTAGGTTCAAGCTTCAAGCTTTTGGATTCAGTATACTATATTAAAATTGTGGCCACTTGAGTGTAGGAGTGCGTCATATGCCTATGACAACCTCTTCTAAAACTCTCCATATAGTCAGAATTAGAGAGGTAATTTTGGTCTTTTTCCGCGAAAAAGAAAAAAAAAAATTGAAAGAAATAAACCCCTAACAGACAGCCCCCACCGGGCTTGGTTCTGGCCTTATTTCGTAGTGGATTTATGAATTTAAATATTTGTAATACTGAATTCTTTTTTGTAAATTCAACTTGACTTGTACCTGGAAGTCTGGAACAGAGTAAAAGAGAATTCAATTGAAATTCAAGCCTTTTTTTTCTTCTATTTTTCACTTAGATGTTCTAAAACCAGATTGTGATGGCAAGAATTGATATGTTAGAAGTAGAAATATCTATTATTGCCTGTTCCTCTCTTTATCACCCTGTTTCTTTTTTCTTCCTAACTGGTCAGTGGAGTAATTGTTGCTTCGTAATTAATGAAAGTAATATGTAAATATTTATCTAGTAATAATATATCATAGTTGTTATTTCAAGTCAAAACCACAAGAATGTTTAATCATACAAGCTCTAAGTAATCAAGGAAATGTTCAATGCTACTCAGAATCGGTATGTGTAACAATCTAAAAGCTTAACTAGAAAATATTCCAAATTATTTGCCATATATGGTTTTAATATAATGAAGTGAGGAATGTGGAGCAGTGGAATTAATTCTGGTTCGTTGTATTACATCATATCATAAGAAAATAAAAGATGTGACAGTAGTAAAAATTTGTCGCAATCATGACCAGTTAATGCACCAAAAAAGGATGGTTGTTATGAAACGATAAGAAGTGTGAGAGAAGGCTTTCACTTCTTTTATGAAAAAGGCCTAAAGAATCAGTGACCCGAAGTCGCGGTCCATCAATTTTCTGGTCCATAAGGAATAATATACTTTCCATATATTATGCTGCACCTAACAGGAAACTTTAGGAGAAAATGAAATAACCTACTAAGTGAAAGTGTGAAACGATATTTAATATTTTTAGCCATACCCATGTGGAAAAGACAAGGCTCGTGAGTTTTGTTGTGGTTCTTAGTTAAAGAAAAAGATAAACAATTCATTGTTTTTAACGCTAATATGGCTAGACCATTTTCAAATGAAGTGGACCACTTATGATTAACATATCTTGATATTTGTGAATCTTAATACTTATATTTATATATTTTACGATGGCAGAGCCATGTTAGACTAAGGGGCATCAATGGATACCCTTCATCAGAATATTACATTATTAAGTTAGGTCAAAAATTTATTTATAAGAGTACATATAAGTTGAATTCTTTTAGCTTCTTCGTAAATTTACTTTCTTATATTTTGATATTCTTCGTAAAATATGTCTCCGCTACAGTATATATAAATATGACCTGCAACATCATCTCGAGCAATAAGTGTAAACCCTACATTGGATTGGATATTGATAAACATGGACCATCTTAATACCTAATGCTACAAAACCCTACACGTGGCTGGCAAAATATAGTCTGCAGTCTGCACACTGATTACCGAACAGTAGTATAAAATAGATTTGTCGATGTATACACGAGTACATCTAAAGTTAGATATTAGGTACGTCATATAATATTATAATCTAAAGCTTCATTAATGAAGGCACGCATTTCAACTGTGAACCTCAGATTTTTGTTGGGATGAGAATGAATAGATGCATGGTGTTATGTTACGAGTCATTGGGGTGTCAAAATTCAATGCTGCTACTTATTTTTGACCAAAGACTATTATAGAAAAAAAATGAATAATTTAATGGATATAAGCGTATTTTTTGAGTTTTTGTCTATATTTTAAAGTGAAGAGATTAGAAGTTAGAACTAGTGTGTTTTGGTAAGACGGAAAATAAGTTGTTTTTCGGTGCTTGTGGTCACAAAATTTTCTTTAAGAAAAACATTTTCCACCAAATAGGCAAAATGATTGTCACTTTTGGATGAAAATATTCTGTCTCGGTTATTTCAATTCTTATCATCATATCACAACTTTTGTCTATATATATAACTTTTAATGCTTAGAAATTTCATTTTACCGACATCCAAGTTATTAATGTTTATTACTACTAATTTATCCTTATGTTAACATTTTTCACTTTTCGATCTAAACACTCAGAAAATCTTTTTCAAATAACTCATTTATAAAAATTGTTTTCTAGCATGCCAAAATAAACGGACCACCCTTATCCTGGTAGTAAGGGTTGGGTGGGGCATGTGCATTTATTACACAAAAAACATGCAGAGTTCACATGCAGACAAAGATCATATAACCCTACGACGTAATAAAATCTTAGAAAAGATCAGAATCAGAATCAATGACAGTGTGCTTGCCTGTATTTCGATGAGAACGGTGGAATAAGCATAAGCAAATGCAATATCTCCTATGGCTTGGAAGCTTTTCCATATTTTCTCTGATCCAGACACATCAACTCCTACTGTCGTCCCTGTTAGGCTTGTCTTTACATGGTGCCCTACCCCTATAAATTATATAAATTTTAATTAACAAATCATATAATTGCAGACAATTAGTGTCTTTATATGGACCCCAAAGTACAAAAATTCAAGGGAGAGAAAAAAAAAGGGCAGGTTGGTGCATGAACTATCTCGTGTTCACGCAGAATCCAGAAAGGGTTGCAGCTTAAGGGGTGTGACAAACTGACATACTGATATAGGCAGTCTATCCTGATGTAAGAATCAGTGGTTGATTCCACGAATAATCTAGAGAAAGAAAAAGAAAAATAGAGTACCAGCAGCTTTGGCAATAGAGAGTCCAAGACCAATAGAAGCGTAAGTAAAAGACATAACAGCAGCAAGAATTGATAGCCATGAGAGCTTGTGGAAATTTGGTATTTGGCTTAGAACTACTTGAATGACTGCAAATATGATCATATATGGGTAGCTCGATATTGAGCAGCTGGCTTCGTGGCCATGTTTGTGAAAACAATTTGATCTCTTTACTGCGCTGAAATTGACA